CCGCCCGCCCCACCCCCAGAGCTGCTGCTCGGCCGCCGCGTTCCCGTCGCGAGGGCTCGGGCGTGAGAACTTCCAGCTCCTCCGCGCCCAGGCTCAGAGCGTTAAACTCCAAGGGTGGAGAGTATCACGCACTACCCAACCCCAGCTACCCGGCTCCGAGAGCCAGGGGCCGAGCACGAGCACCTACTGTGTGTATTCCCCTACGCAAGCATGTCAAACTCGCGGAGGGCCGAACCCAGTCTCCGGTCCCTGCCCCTAAAGAGCTCACTAGGGCATGGAGGAGGGATGGGAACCCAAGGCGTCACTATTCCACAACGTGACCCCAGAATTCGTGGAGGCATTGGTTCATTCACTGAGCCCCTACTGTGCGCCTGGTGCTGCTGGGCACCATCTGCCGCAGTGGCTGCCACCTAAGGGTTGAGAGCAAGCGAGGGACAGGCAGGTACACAGGCAAACAAAGCCTGGGTTGTCTCATTTAAGCCAGGAAGCGGGCCTGTAGTTGGCTTCCTTTCTCAGAAGAAAGGCAAAGAAGCCGGTTCAGCTTGCAAAGGACAGAACTGGGAATGCCAACCAGGGATCATCTGACTCCAAAGCTCGGGGGGCAAAATGGCCTTTCAGACACCACTGGTTAAATCCCCACGACGGTCATTTCTTCCTTTTAAGGACAATTAAACCTCACTGGGCAAAAGGGTAAGGAGGGGAGCATAAAATCTATCACCCGTGAAATTCAGAGGTGTTTTCTGACAAGTTATCCGCCTCGAAGCCGGGTTTTTGCACACCTGGCCTCGGTTTCCGCCTCATCTCCTCGTATTCCAAGGGCACGCAGGCTGCACTGGACCATCTAGGCTTCTGCCTGGGCTGTTGCTTCCACCAAGGAACTCTCTTCCTTGCCCGCTTGGCCTGGCTACTCCTTCCTCTTTTCTGTGCCTTAGTTAAAATGTCACTTTCTCCAGCAAGCCTTCCCTAAATCCCTGTGGGGCCATACTACCGTGGGGGCTTCTTCCATCACCGTGTTTATGCATTCATTTAACAAGTATTTACTAAGCGTTTACTATGCTCTGAGCTCTGTGTGAGGGGGTCTTCCTGCTGTGCTGAGAGCTGAGTCTGTGGCTTGTTGTCTGCTTCTCTCTCCAGACCTAGATGGGACCAGTGCCCAGAACAACTCTTGGCCATTTCAGTCCACCACAAAGACAGCCTCCCGGCCTGTACTCTCAAGCCCTCCAGCGTGGCAAGTGTGGTTGGGCAGATCCTGGGTTTTAAGAATTGGGCATGGGTAATTCCCAGTGATATGGCAAAGGGGCCTCTCTGACACCACTGGTGACCACCCTATAAAATCTGCCTCTGCCACAGTTGCTAGAATCCAGCCCAGTTTGGGATAATCTCTCTGGCTTGGGCTGGATCACCTCCCTCTACGACAGCGGTTCTCAACCTGTGGGTTGTGACCCTTTGGGGGGGTCAAACGACCCTTTCACAGGGGTCACCTAAGACCATCAGAAAACACATATATAATTACATATTGTTTTTGTGATTAATCACTATGCTTTAATTATGTTCAATTGAACCGTATTAAAGGGTTGAGGCATTAGAAAGGTTGAGAACCACTGTTCTAAGATGTTGGCCACCTTATCACTCAGACTTTAGGAGCTGAATTTGACTCCCTTCCTGGAATTGTTCTCAGAGCTTCGGTGAATTCCACCTCTCGGGCCTTATCTGTCCCCACTGTGAACCTTTCCCAGCCAGCTGTGTTCCAGCACACCCAGAGCAGGCCCAGAGAGGCAGCAAGGAATAAAACTGGCCAGCCTTTTAATCCCCACAAGCCATTTAGCAATCTAGGCTCAGGGCGCATTCACCAAAAAGGGGGGGGGGGGGGGGGGGGGCGAATAAATAAATAAGTGAATGAAATGCATGAATGGCTTCCCACAAGGCCCGCCCAGAAGCCATCAATGAACTTTACCTGGTGTATTAGAAACTTGAAAACAATTCTTAAATTTGAAATTTTTTCCTCTCCAAAACCTTAAAAATGTGCAATTGCCCTTTTTTAAATTCATAGCCTGCGGCCTCAGGGGCCTCCTAGGGTCTGGAGTTTCTAAATCTAGAGATTTTGCCCCTAGTTTTATATTCTGACACACTGAGTTGAGCCCAGTGGGAGTCACATTCTCTGTGACTCTTACCCACCTGTTGACCTGTTGACTGACAGGAGAGAAGCCTTAATTAACCCCCCCTACCCCCCCCCCCGATTCACAGTGAAGCCAAGGAGGCAGGAGGAGATGAGGGGACTCACCCGTAATACCCTTTCTGAATCAGCAATGCCCTGAGCTATGTCCCTAAAGAATCAGGAGAGGGTGGAGGTCAGGGAGCAGTCCAAGGGGCCACCCACATTCCTAATGGCATCCCAAATAGAGACTCCTTATTATCTGACAGGTCTCACCTGAGCATTAGAAAGGAGTTCTGGAACCTCTCACCTGCCAGCAGGTGCAGCAGCACCCCAGGCTTCACCCGATCACATTTGTGAATGTCTCCTGGACTTGTCAGCATACCAGTTAGAGCTGAGTGGTGCCAATGGACACTGTTGTTTAAGGCACATGTATTACCTGATGGACTCTGTGCATCATCTCACTTAGTTCTCACCACCACCTGTGAGATGTGCTAACCCACTTTACAGATGGGAACACTGAAGCACAGAGGTTAAGTGACTCACTCAAGATCCCATAGTCAGGACATAGTTGGGCCAGCAGTCAAAGGAGTTCATTCATTCAACATTCCCACTACATGCCAGGTACACTTTGGGTGAACAAAGACATACTTGCTGCCCTCAGAAACTTAGAGTCTATTAATAAGAAGAAAATATTAGAAACTATTCCATCAGGGATCACACACAAATTATGATGGAATCATGAGTAACAACAAATACAAAGCCATGTCAGCACATGGAAATGCATGTAGGAGAAAAATGAAAGACACAAGGTACTCTGTGGACTCAGATGTCAGCTGGCAGCCTCCCTGGCCTGTGAGCAATTTGCATGATTCATTCTCCAAGCATTTATTGCATGGCAACTGTGAGCCAACCACCGAGCGCCTGGCCCATGTGCAATTCAGATATCTCCACCTTGCAGCAGCCTTCCCTGATTACCTCTGAAAAATTAGTTGTCCCATAACCCATACCCTGTAGCACATTGTAGATGATGATTTATTTATTCATCTTGACCCCACTTAGTTGTGAATTCTTTTTTCACCTCCATATCCACAGGGACCAGCATGAGTGGCACAGAGCAAGCAGATATTAATTAGTCATTCTGTGTTCAGTACTTCACATGCATTATCTCACCGAACCTGTGAGGTGTGTATTATTAGTGGTGGCATTTTACAGATGAGGAAATTGAGACTCAGAGAGGTTAACCTACCCACGGGCACATGACTAGTAAGTGATACTGTCAGAATCCAAACCATGTTGTGTATGTCTGAACACAAAGTCTGCATTCTAACCATTAAGATGCCTGCTGCCATAATCGGTAATGGAATTCAATATGAGCCCAGCAGGTGTGGCTCAGTGGTTGAGTGTAGACCTATGAACCAGGAGGTCATGGTTTGATTCCCATCAGGGCACATGCCCGAGATGCAGGCTTGATCCCCAGTAGGGGGCGTGCAGGAAGCAGCCCATCAAGGATTCTCATCATTGATGTTTCTATCTCTCCTCCTCTCCCTTCCTCTCTGAAATCAATAAAAATATATTTTAAAAATAGATAGCCCTGGCCGGTTTGGCTCAGTGGATAGAGCGTCGGCCTCTGACCAAAGGGTCCCGGGTTCGATTCCGGTCAAGGGCATGTGCCTTGCTTGCAGGTTCCTTCCCTGCCTGGGCTCTGGTCGGGGCTCGTGCAGGAGGCAACCAATCAATGTGTTTCTCTCATGTTACGGCCAAAGGGGCCTGCTCGGGCACCACTTGTTATGGCCAAAGGTGATCCTGAGTGGGGGGGGGGGGGGGGGGGTGAAAGGATTGAGAAAAGACAGACAAGAGAATGAAAGCTGGGTCTCGGTGGGACGCTGCTCCCTGATGAGGAGACAGCGCCAGCGCCCACAAGCCCTGTCTTTATTTTATAGCAGATGCCACGAGGCAAAGTAGGGGTGTGATCACGTTGTTTACAGCATTCTCGTGAGTTCCAACCTCACTCAACTACATGCACCTGAACCCTAGCACAAGGCACATGGGGCTACGTGTTCGGACCATAGGTTCAAGCTTACAACCACAGCCATTGGCTATGATTGTGCTGGGAGGGCCCTGCCCTGCCAGCTGGGACTTGCACGTGGCAATGAGAGGACCCTGTCCTTTCATTAGTCCGAGGCTTGAACCTGGCCAAAACACTGTAGCCGCGCCCCACACTCTCACATCAATGTTTCTCTCTGTCTTTCCCTCTCTCTTCCACTCTCCTTAAAAATCAATGGAAAAATATCCTCCGGTGAGGATTAACAACAAGTAAATAAATAAATAAGAAAGATATGACAAAGGCTGACCTTGAAAGAGCTTGTATCTAGAAATCTATGAACTATGAACATTTTTAGGCAGAAAAAGCATCTTCTTTCTAAACAACTCAAAATATTGCTAATTCATGGCTTTCTTTTTTACTTTTTCTGAACAGGAATTAAGATTTATTGGGGGGTGTAAGGAGGTGTCAGCGCCCAAGCAAGTGCAGGGCCTGCCATTTGTCCAGGGGACCAGATTAGGGGTGCATTTGACCCCACAATCATCTGGGATGAGCTGCTTCTCGGCCACCATGTCTTCAAACTCATCCGCATTAAACTTAGCAAAGCCCCTCTTCTTCTGGTGGCCAGGGAACTTGAACTTGGCTCTGTGTAGGGCCTAATCACAT